GCCCAACATAGTTTATACATCTTTTTGCCTGGTTCTGTTTATTTTGTCTCCATTTTTTGCCATGATCTGTTGCTACGCCCTTGTCTTTCGTAAAATACACCAACACAACACCAACAACATCCATCATGCTGCAGCTGATGGTCGTGCTGAAGAAATCAAAACTACAAGATTGCTGTTCGTTTTGGTGGTGGCGTTCAGCGCGTGTTGGATTCCTTGCACCGTGATTGAGATCACAGATTTGTTTGTTCCACCTACTCGTTCGTCATACATGGCGTACATTTACCTTGCCTACCTCTCTAGTGCCATCAACCCTATCTTGTACGGCATCGCAAATAGAACATTCAGGARAGCGACAATAGGACTATTTGGATGCCATCGTAAGATAATCAATGTAGTTCAGGTTGTACCTTGCTCTGAAGTAAAACCTACTTATCGGCCGTCATCACATGTAGAATGTTGCAGTCGCTATCTAAAGTCAGTAACTGATAATTTATGAGAAATAAATGTGACCTTATCGAAAACAACAGTAATTAGAGTAAAAGAAACAGCAGTAAAAGCAGCAGCAGCAACACTGATTTGTAGCATCTACCAGATATAACAGGAAAAGAAGAAGAAAGATATTTCCATTTTCGACTCAAATGGCGATAAAAATAAAAATTAAACATTAAATTTGTTTCTTGAATGAGATATTGTTTTGTCTATTAGATTTGCTGCTATAAAATAAAGGCCAAAAAATTTAACACCGTCATTATCATCAACATCATTATCAACACCACCATCATCAGCTACACCATTCAGCAGAATCATCAACAGCAGTAGCTGCAGCAATATATCATCAGCATCAACACCATCATCATTATCATCAACACTACCACCATCATCACCATTATCATCATCATCTACACCATTCATCAKCAGCAGCAGCAGCATCAACACCAATAGCTGCAGCAATATATCATCAGCATCGTCAGCATCAACACCATCATCATTATCATCAAAACCACCATCATCATCACCATCATCATCATCATCTACACCATTCATCAGCAGCAGCAGCATCAACAACAGCATCATCAACACCAGTAGCTGCTGCAGCAATATCATCATCATCATCATCAACAGCAGCAGCAGAAACAGTAACATCGCCAACAGTAATAACAAGAACAACAGCAAAAGCGGCAACAACAACGAACTACTACAAACAAAAATGCTATGTTATACGAGAATTTATTTTCTAAGTCCTTGTTTTCCCATTCTTTCACCATTCTTTCATTTATATTTTCGCTGTTCCTGTTTAAAGACCATTTTCGCTCTGATCGAATTAAGTAGATTTTTCTGGCTATCGTATTTCAAACTACACTATGAAGCCTCACGAAAGTTGATTTCGCCGCAAAATAGTCACTTGTTTTGGTTTATTGATTCACATTTATTCACTCACAAATTCACTAAAACTCACTGTCTTTCGCAATAAACATTCGTTCTATAAAACCTCTCAGCTTGTGTACACACTCACAACACACACCCTATCACATTACACACTAATTCACTTCCGCTCTAAAAAAAATTACAAAATCACTTCCGGTCATGAGGTGACTGTCACTTGTTACCGTATTATTCTTGTTATTTTTCAGCCCAGTAGTATCTCTGTAGTATGAAGTATCTCTGAAAATCGTAGATGTTGTCGAGTCTTGAATCGTCTAAGTGCCTCAAGATATCTCATTGTGCCTTGGTGAGAAATTTAAAGAAAAAAAGCAATTAAACGGTCTCGAAGGATTTTTTTTTTTCATGTTGATTAATTCTCGCAGTTCCGGTCTTGTCGAATATGCAGAGTGATGAGCATCACGCGAAGTCGATGAATGGAAAATTCATGTGATTATTTTGTCTTGAAGTTTCAAGATCCAAACCTTGGTACGACGGAATGATTATGAAGTGAAGATATTGRGACTGAGTAATCTTTGTATTACGTAAATATTAGTGAAACATAAGTGGTCCAAGAATTGATCCTTGTAGGACTCCAATTTGATGGAAACGCATTCAAAAAATATTTTATTCAAACTGTTGGCTGTGAGCTAAAGCTAATAATAAAGATAAATAATGATACTCTAAACACTATAATCTTTAATCTAGATTTATCGAGAGTATACATAGATATTTATAGTAAATGYCTGAATTTTCCTAAACAAAATGTGAACATTAAGAAATCCTTTTTCTATCCTTTCTCTTCGTCGCCTCAGCCCCCTTTCCTGGATGACCTTGATCTCCATGGATATATATCCTCACTCTTGATTAATCCGGCCTGAAGGTGTCAAACAAGGAACCATGCCTTTAAGCACAGCACGAGATTCATTAATGTGTCAGTGATATTGTCTAATTGTCTCTTGTGCAAATCAAATAAATGAGTCTTGCAMGTTTTGATGAAGACTAGTGGTTGGTTCAAGTCAAAGCGTCTCCTTGTTTCAATGATAGTTCCAGTATTGAAGTGACTTATTTTTCTGCATTTTTATACTGAGTTTTGCATGTAAATCGATCAACGAACAATCTATTGTTCAAATGCAAAGGATCATTGTCGTCGGACGGGGTCAAATCAACGCAAATTCACCGAAAATTGTCCTAAAACCCGTATCAATCCACGAAGAAAAGTAGAATAGCCAGCAAACGCTCAGAATATTTTTTAGTACATATTAACAGGAGTGTTTTATCGGGTATAAAACACGAGGCGCAGCCGAGTGGTTTTAGACCCGAAAAAACACGATCTGCGAGTTTATTAAACGGCTTAGAAAGCTCATGATGTATGTTTTCATATTGTACAGAATTTTTTACGAAATGAACCAAGTTTGATAGAGAAAATCCAAGTTAAAGTTTATGCTAATGAAGACGAATCTATATCAGATGTAAAATCACCTTCATAGTCATGATTCCTATTGTGTTTCCTTCATGAATTATTAATGAGTTTTCTAAAGTTACGAATGCTACTCCATGTATTTAAACACAAAAAAGACTACCAAGTAGAATAAACGTAATGAATACAGCGTTCTATAATACATGACGTTTTGTTAGTCAGTTTTAAAACCACTCGACGATGTCACAATGAAATCAAAAGCMCTATATCTACGCACTCCCAGGACATTTAGCGAGGTTTAATGTTTTTATTCCATGGACTCTGAATTCTTGTTAGATATTGGATTGAGGCAACATGGCCAGTTCGTCATTATTATCAAATCGGTTGTCAAAAAATTTGTCTTTACAAAACGCAATCAGTGACGAGTTTTATATGAATTCAAGGACGACAAGGTTGATGGATCAGTGTAGCTGATGCGGTTAAATTAACTCAATGGCAGTTAAACAGGGACCGCGAAAAAATGAATATATGGTAAAAGGATGGGGAAAAAAGACACAAAATCTTTGCTTCTAATATTGCATGCTTGTCAGTTGCCATCGAAGTTCATTGTTGTTACGTTGCTACGTTGCTACTGCTGTTGTTATTGTTAATACTGGGGTTGATGTTGATGACTAATACTGTTGTTGCTGCTGCTGCTGATAATGATGATCCTGTTACGTTAATGCTGTTGCTGATAATGATACTGCTGCTGCTAATGATGACGGAGATGATGATAATGCTACTGCTGCTGATGATGTTGTTAATGATGATTATGATACTGCTGCTGCTAATGATGACGGTGATGATGATGATAATGCTGCTGCTGCTGCTGATGATGCTACTGCTGCTGCTGATGAAGTTGTTAATGATGATGTTAATGATGATGATGATGATGCTACTGCTATTGATGATGATGATGCTACTGCTGCTGCTGATGTTAACGATGATGATGCTGCTGCTGCTAATGATGACGGGGATGATGATGTTTATGATACTGCTGCTGCTAATGATGACGGGGATGATGATGTTTATGATACTGCTGCTG